TCCCTACACCAGGGAACCCAGGGGGACCTGGGAGGCCTGGTTCTCCTTTAGGGCCTGGAATCCCAGGTGGGCCAATGGGGCCACTAGGGCCAGCAATCCCTGGGATACCTGGAGGGCCCTGTAGACCCTGATCTCCAGGGATTCCTGGTTCTCCCTTTGGTCCAAGCAGCCCTGGAACACCAGGGAGCCCTGGCAAACCTTTGTGCCCAGCTTCGCCCTTGGGCCCGATAGGACCTGGCAAACCTCTCATGCCAGGGGGACCCACTTCACCTAGGAAACCTGGCTTTCCTGGGAAGCCCTGAAGCCCTGGCTCACCTTTGGGACCTGGTGGTCCCTGTGGCCCTACAACCCCACCTTCTCCTTTGGGTCCAGGGAAACCAATAGCACCTGGAGGGCCCATAGGACCTGGGATTCCAGGCAGGCCTGGTTCTCCTGGGGCACCCCCTATCCCAGGGGCACCTACTGGTCCTTTCTCCCCTCTTGGTCCAAGAGCCCCAGGAATACCTCCCGCCCCCCGCTCGCCTTTGGGTCCTGGAAAGCCTGGTTTCCCGATCCCTGGAAGACCTGGAGGTCCCGGCAGGCCTGGTAGCCCTTGCTCTCCTTTGCCACCTGGAAATCCTGGCTGGCCAGGGATCCCATCCTGACCTGGTTTTCCAACCCCAGGAATCCCAGGAGGCCCTTGAACACCTGGCACCCCAATGGGGCCTTGTGGGCCAGGTTCTCCTGGAGGCCCTGGTTTTCCTAGAGGACCCTGAGGGCCAGGGAAGCCTGTCACTCCTGGTTTTCCCACTCCTGGTAGTCCAACAGGACCAGGAGGGCCGTGCATCCCTGGAGGACCCTTCAGGCCTGGCAAGCCGGGCATCCCAAAGCCCTTCTCTCCTTTAGGACCCTGAAGGCCTGGAGGTCCTGGTGGTCCTTTGGGTCCTCGATCACCTTTTGCTCCTGGCTGTCCTGGTAACCCTGGCCCACCCGGCTTCCCAATGCCAGGAAGTCCATGAGGCCCCGGAGGTCCTTGTGGTCCTGGGATCCCCATGGGCCCAATTTCCCCTTTGGGTCCGATTTCTCCTTTTGCCCCAGGCATTCCCATAGCTCCTGGCTTCCCTGGCATTCCAGGCATACCTGGCTTTCCAACTCCTGGATACCCCTGTGGCCCTGGCTTTCCTTTGCTTCCAGGTATCCCATGACCTGGCAATCCAGGGGGCCCAGGTGGTCCTCTTGGGCCAGGCTCTCCACGGGGACCTTGTTCCCCTCGTAAACTCGCCAGTGGTATTTCTACTGGGAAAGAGGAGGGGGGGGGAGAGAGAGAGAGATTGATTATTGTTCATTTCAACTAAGTAATGACAACCATTATTTGGTTCTGACACATTTGCCTATTACTTAACGGGGAGGAAAGACTAAGAATAATATGCTCAGCTTCCAGGACTGTGAGTTACCAGCACTGAAAGGAAAATCAAGCAAATCATTTCTTTGAGGATTTGAGGTATTGTTTGGAGAACTGATATGTCCAGGTGCTTATATAAGCACTGGTTAAGTAAAATAGCTAAAAAGTAATGAAGAAACACCTTTTCTTCAAGTACGAAACTTGGATATATTATGGTGTGCTCACTGTAGAGAATTGAAACAATTCAAAGACATATAAAGAACAAACAGCGACCTGTAAGCCTGCTTGCCTAAAGATATTATTATTTTTTTTTGAAAAGTGATCTATGGCTAAAATGCTGTTTTGTTTTTCTGAGAAGTTTCTGGGAATCTCATTTACTAATCTCCATGTATGTGTTTGCGGCCCTTTATTTACTTGGTAAGACTATGATGTATTTTTTTTTTTTGGAGAGGTTTTTGCTATAGGGCAGCATGTGCTTGCCAGACAGACAGAGAGAGACAGAGAGACAGAAAGCAAGAAATCACCCCCCAGGGGGGATGGTTACGCCGCAATACCTTCTCCTCCATTCTCCTCTTGGGATCTTGAGCACACACGCACACATGCCTGGCATGAGTTTAAGCCACCGGGTTCGGGACTCCAACCGCGGTCAACTACGTGGGAATCCAGCGACAAAGCCATTACGCTAACTGCTGGTCCCAAGACTGTGATGTATTAAAATGAAATAAATTGTAGTCTTTCAAACCATGTGCTTTCTCTGCTTAATTGGATGAATGTAAAGTTTGAAGGAGACATTGTGGAAGAAAGTGGATAATCATATCTTCATTTGAATTTTGCTGCTGTGATCTAATGCAGGCTATATAACTTCTCTTAGCCTTAATGTTCTCTATGAGAAGAATAACACAATGTGCTTCACAGGGTTCTTACAATGAGTAAGTAAGATGTTGAGCTCAGGGTCAGGCACGCTGTGTGCAAGCACACCCTTAGAGTGCACCAAATGAAAGTACAACCACCAGTAACATTTTTCTGAAATTTTGAAAGTGCTGAGAATATACTTTTCCTACTGATGTCATTGACACTCTGTGTACTTTGCTGTTGCTCACCTAGTTCATGTGTTTTCAAATAACTTACTTTTGATTGTATATGCAGAACAGTTGGCCATGTATTTGATGAGCCAGTGAAGGTTGGAGAAAATATTTCTGATTTTCACAATTCGTCTGCCCTCGTTCCCTGCCTCTCTGCTCTACAGAAATAATATAGCTAAAGAATGGCTGGATGTCTATAAAAATGTTCAGAAAAGACCATTAGGCAAATTCTCTAGAAACTGGAATCAATAGATTGTGAATTTCTTTAGCATGCCTCCTTTCCCAGGACTTAATCAGCATAAATAATGAAGGCTTTATAGACCTTCTGGGAGGAAACAAGCATCCGTCCAAATTGTGATAAGAAGGATTTGGTACTTATAAGGAACTTTGATCATCTTCATGAGCAGAAAATGATAAATTTCTGCCCATATTTACTATATTTATAATTCAAACGAGCCACTAAAACCAGTGGAGTCTGGCATGGGACTATAGCAAGGGATGAACACAGTATCTGAGCAATGAATGAAGGAGCAGATTCTGTACTAGACTTGACCTCACCCGAGACTGCATAGACACTATTGATGGAGTTTTGATTGGTTTTCCATAAAGAAGATCTAGAACTTTCTATCAAAATCTACTATATCATATATGGTTTGTCCTATGTGTTTATGCTGAGGTTAATGTGCACTAAATTGTACATAGTTCTTCATTGTCAATTCATTCTCTTGTTGTCACTATAAAGTCTTAGGTTAAGGAATAGCAACTGCCCTGAGGGTGGCTGGAACAGACTGAGAGACCTTAGCTAATTATTAGAAATAGGACTTTGATGCCCAGAACAAATGAAACCACAATAAGTAGTAGATCTTAACAGAGTGTTGGTCTAATAAGAATTGTTTCTAACCAAGAAATGTAACGTAGTATGCATTACATCAGTGCCAACTTTTGAAAAATAAGTATTAGGATATTGAAATGTATTGATTAAAAATTTTTTTCTACAGTTATGCTGTTCACTTAGTTCCTTGTTGAACAAATATGACTTTGCATTGCTGAAGCTTTTCATTACTGCCATGAAAATTCCTACTAAAATGAAGTTTTTGACTGATACTCCAGTCCTGCTCAAAGTTGATTCACTTGACTTTTATATATGTATTTATTCAAAGGATTTTGAGAGAGAGAGACAGAGAGAGGGAAAGTGAGAAGTCACTTCCTATGGGGGATGGCCACACCACAATCCCTTTCCCATTCTCCTCTTGAGATTTTTGGGCATGCACACACATGTGCCCAGTGTGATTTTCAAGCTGCCAGGTCCGGTACTCAGACTGTAGTTGGGAATGTGAGAATCTAGCACCTTAACCACCATACCACCTGCCAGCCCCTAAGCCTGTTATTTCTAAGCAGTGAATTATGAAGTTGCTGCGTCAAGGGACTATATGGGGCAGGGCCACACCTGTTTGCTAGGAACCCTGGTGTCTAGCACATTGCCTGGAACACAATCTGTTTTTAATCGAGGATTAGTTGAACAACCAGTTATATCAACTTAAAAGTCCTATAGCATTTACTTAGTACTTACCTTATGTCATTGATTCCCTCAACAATCTTGTTTTACAGATGAGATAACATAGATTCAGAGAAGTTGAATGACTAAGACCCTCTCATTTCTGGCACCCAAACACCCAGAATGCAGTAGTTACCTAGAGGTGGAGCTTCCTGCCATTGTAGGGACTAATGGAAATTTCCTTTATGTCCTCAAAAGTCATCACTACTTTAACACAGCTAGGTTTGCTAACGACTTGTGTAGGTTTGTTTAAATGTAAGTTTCTAAGAACTCTAAGACAAGTCAACAGAATTTATAATGAAGAGTCTACCACAGTGACAAGCATTTTGTGGGTGTTGAATAACTAGTGAATATGCCTAAAAAGTAATAGGAAAGATTTTCAGAAATCATATCTACATGTAGTCTGTACTCTTTAGTCCTCTGATGATTTATGGATTGGCATGTTTGCATTATTAGAACAGTATTAAAATACACTTGCATTGATCTAATACCTAGTTTTCAAATGCTTTCATGTGATTTTTCTTTCAACACAGCAGATCCTTACAACATAATTCTCCTAATTCAGAAGGCTGACTTGTCATCTTTTTTCTTTTTCACTGCTTTACTCCCCAGCATCTAGTTTAGAGCCTGACATAAAAATAGTTGCTCATTAAACAGTTGCTGAATGTTGGAGTAAATAAATAATATATAAGAGACTAGACTGGACCAGCAGATGGCATAGCAGTTATGTTGCTGGACCCCCACATGACTGATGGCTGTTCGAGTCCCAGACCTGGTGACTTCAAAATCACATTCAGTATTTGTGCATCCATGCCCAAGATCCTGGGAGGAGAATGGAAAAGATGGGATCATGGCATGGCCATTCCACCCAGGAGAAAGACAGAGAGCAAGGGAAAGGGGAGGTCTCACTTTCCCTCTCATTGTTCTCACTGTGTTTATTTGGCTCTCTCTTCCATGAGTGCATGCACCTGAAGGCAAAAACAAAACAAAACAAAACTCCACAAAAACCAAGAAACAAATGAGAAAAAAACAGAGACTCGACTATTTATAATTAAATATGTTTTGTTTCATCTGATACTATATAAAATAAAGAAAAACATAAAATGCTAATTTTATCTGTGTTTTTTCTTTAAGATTTGAACTTTTAAAGAATAGGGCTTAGAACTCAGTAGGCATTTAATAAACATCCATAACATATTCTAAAATGAAAGTTTCTAAAGTTTAGCTTTTCCCCCAACCTCATCATTTAGGAGTTTGGGATGCTGCTATTATCTTCTAGCAAGGGAGTATGATGTTACCTTTGCCTTTTTTGGGTGCCACTTCCTTGCCCATTCTTGGAACTGGCTGGACCTCCTTCATATACTGGGGTAGGTGTGGATACTCTTTGCCATACTGCATGTGGGGCAGCTCCTTGCCCATGGCAAGGCCATCTTTGCCCAGTGGCATGTGAGGTACTTGCTGGCCCAGGGGCTGGTATTGTGGAATTTGCGGTGGCATCTGAGGAGGAATTTGAGGTGGCATCGGCTTGATCCCATAGTAAGCACCAGCTTGAACGAGACTGACGGAGCTTAAGGAAACGGTCAGTAGCACTCCCAGCAGCTGCAGAGGGCCAGGCAGCATAGCCATCACCTGTGGAGGGAAGTGAAGCAGCAACATGGTAAAAACCTGCAGGCCAAGTGGCTCAAATTCACCAGTGAATGGGGCAGAAAAGGGAAGCACTGTCTTTGATTGAACTCCATGGCAATAGGCAAATGGAAGGAAAGTGCTACCTTTCAGTAGAAAACAGAATCAAACGAAAATCAGACAAGAGTAGGATCTGTCAGATGAAGGCAATTGATGGGAATATAGGCAATGGAAAACTTTCTGATCATCCCAAATGATTACCTCTGCCCTCATATTATTGAACCCCCTGATTTTCAGCTGGGAGTGCAGTCCAGAATAAAGACATTTCAGCTGGGAGTGGCGATCTGATGAAGTTCTGGTCAACTGCACATGGTCAAAGTGGGTGCATCTTTTGAGAAAGATCCTCAAAGGAGTGGGCATGTCCTCCTTTCTCTT